CATTTCCGGGGAAAATTTTTTAGGTGCCCTTTCCGATAGTAATGTGCCCCTACAAGCCGGTGCCCCCCCAAACTCCAGGTGCTTCCTACGCCCCTGAAGATATCTCTTGTAAATTCATAACAAATATTTAATTTTAAACAGTATAATAGCCTGTGGTTTTTAGCTTGCCCACATATTTGTTAATTGTGCTATTTTAATTTGTGCCTTGAAAATTAATTAAATCCTTTGTATTGCTACAAAATCACTGCAAACTGCTTCATGAATTTCAAGGAATTTTCAAGGAAATAACATATACAATCTAAGGAATTTAGAGAAATTTTGATGACAAAAATGAGAAATTTTGAGTTTAAAAATGGAAGCACTGACCAGAAACACAGTTTGACATTTTCAGTTTTTCCACCAATTTTCCACGAACACTGATGTTGATATACAATCCATGTCGGGGCAGAAGTTCACGAACTTTCATCATTTTATTTGTATTTCTTCAACTTTTGTTCGTCTTAGCCGTATTTGCGTTATACACAAGTGATACTGTGTCAATAATTTCCGTCGCAAAAAGGATTCAGAATGACAACGTAAATAAAGCTGTGGGAGGTCGAAACATACTCACATCTCCATCTCCAAATGTGCCTGCCACGACGCACGCTACTTCACCTCGTACGTCTACACCATCGCCGACTAAAAAGCCAAGCATTGATATGGTCAACGATTATCAGCCTTACGTGGACTTTAAGTTAAAGTATCCCGAAATACAGCCGAAAATGGCAGATTCGAAAGATTTTTTCTTGGTCGTTCTTGTCAACTCCGGTGCGAAGGGGGACGAGTACAGGCGACGCAGAGCAAAAATTCGGGAAACCTGGGCAAGCAAAAACACTTGCGAGTACGCAAATACTATGAATATTAACATCAAGGTGAAGGACCTTTATAAGTGGATTTTGGTGTTTGTGCTTGGAAAAGCCGGGGGGGAGGAAGATAAACGAAATACCGAGGAAGCCAAGCGACACAATGATATGATAATTGGTGATATCGGTGATAACTATTTGAACAACATTTTGAAATTTTACATGGGCCAACTTTGGGCTTCATTGCTGGGTGCCAAATATACTCTTAAGACTGATGACGATGTTTACGTCCGAATACCAAAGGTTATAGAGTACCTTGTTTCCGAGAAATTACCCTCACACTTTTATGGCGGGGGGACGTACCGCGGATCAGTGGTCATGCGTTTTCCTGGTGGGAAGTGGAGTATAAGCAAAAAATATTTTCCTGAAAACGTATTCCCACCCTTTAATGCTGGCGCCTTTATTCTCCTTTCTACAGATTTACTTGGTGGGTTAGTTAACTATGTCCACATTCGGAAACCTTTTCACACTGATGATGCGTACATTGGTGTTGCTATGAGAGATTTAAAAGTCAAAGTTGTTCATATTTTGTCGTTTGTTATTGAAAATAATATGAGTGCACGGATTAATACAAAAGATGATTGTTATATTTTGAAAGTACTTGCGTACGGCCACAGTGTCAGCGCTGGAGCTATGGAACATGTACACAAGAAACTTGAAGATTTGTGTCAAGCAAATACCACACTCAAAACATTAAAATGTCCAGCATAACTTGTCAGGAACAATTTAATATCCCTTGTTTGTAGGTATTAGGGACAACTGCTGTTTTAGTTTAAATATGTATTTCTGCACATCTGACAATCTTTCTTCAATCTTTCTCTCGATTTCTGCATCATCCAGAGAAGATTTCTGAAGAGACAAGCTGTTGGGAAATTTGCTTTGAATTTTAGGTGAAGCCAGGGCTAAGCTATAACTGGACCTTGGGTCCAGTTGTTCAAAAGTCAATTAGCTTAACCCTAGGTTAACCTAAAATTTAATAAAGCAAACCTTCCAAATGTTTATAAATTCATTAATATTTCTTCAGAAATCTTGTCTGGATCAGTATGAGTTTTCTTCTCTGAAGTTTTGAATCCGATAACTTAATTATACCATGCACGATATTAGGTGGCTTTATTATGGTACTCAGTTGTAACACTGTTACACAGTGCTACAGAGTGTTGACAGTGTTACATAGTGTTACACACACTAACCCTAACCCCATCATGTTACATAGTGTTACACACATGCCCTAACCCCACCCCTAACCCTAAATAAAGATAGTGTAACACTTGTAACACTGTTACCCGAGTATATACTTGATAATACACCCTAAATCATGCATCATATGAAATTAATGGCCGATAAATTTTATTCTGGACATATTGACCGATCGGACAAAATATAGTAGAGGTGGTAACTAAAGGCATATACTGTAACCTTGAGCATAAAAATGGGTATAATCACTACGAGGTACAATTGGTGAATTAACCCAGATAACTCATTTCTATCCCCTCACTTGGAAATAGGTGAGTGTAGGAAATGACGTCTGGGTTTGTGACTATAGGAGGCGGGGGGGATTTCCCCTGAATAAAAAACCCCTGAAATTTGGGGGGGGGGGCTCTGACCCAAGTCCCAAAACCTAAAATACCCCTGGTTGAATGGATCTTAATTAGGACTGCTTACTATAAGTTAAGTATAGCCTGTGTGCAGGTCCTCCCTCGGTGGGCTTGCACGCGGGCTAAGTTAAGTATATGATTGGTTATGATGGCATGGTCATGAGGGAAGTGATCAGCACGACTAATCAAATGAATATAAATATTGAAAAGCTGGCCAACCATTGTTGGCCAATCAATGAGAAACTGCACACTTAGCAGATATTTTGTCTAAGCTGAACAAGAAACTTCCTGATCCAGGGTAACATTTGTCAGGCCCAATTGAGAAATTGTTATAATCCACACTGAACAAGGCAAAGTAGAACTTCGAGACTTAGTTATTCATAATACTCAGTTCTTCCTGGTCTCGTCTGTCTGTCCAGTTTCGTAGAAGAACTGCAAGCAAATCATTGAATTTTTGTTTCACAACTTCTGAATCGTCCTCCAGATTTGTCTGAACACAAGGAACTTTTGAAAGGTAGGATGCTAAATGATTTAGTAAAAATTTGTTAGCCATTGCACATAACTAGCCAAATTTACATTAGTTTTCTTCTATAAAAACAGATAATTTGAATAATAGATGGCCCAAAAGGACATGTTAAAATTCAAAGGTGTAATGTCGATCATACAACTTACGTATTTGTGATCTAATCTTCTCGTTGGCTCCTGGTTTATGATGAGCAAATAACATACATTGAGAATCTCTTAAACCTTGTTCTTGAACAAAATGAACATACCTAAAGTGAGAACAAAATGAACATACCTAAAGTGAGAACAAAATATATGTGTAACCTACTGAGTTCCAGCATTCTCCCCTTCACAAGTAAAATTGTCTGGCATTAGACGAGTGGGGTGCATTTGGGCACACTGCTAATTAGGCTCCAGTTACACAATACTGGATTTGCATTGGAGCGAGTCGAGCGACATCAACTAAGACGCTTTTTGGCATCTTACAATTTTTCATATTTGAAGTTTTTGACTAATTCTGTTATATTATAATCATACTTTTCAGTGCTAAACTCCCCTTGAAACTGTAAAATTTGATGTTGCTCCAATGCAAATCTGGTATCATGTAACTGGGGCCTTAATTAAAGGGTTAACACGACACACAGGTCTGACAATAGTCTGATTAACAAGACATGAGCAGATCAAGGTGTGCCCCACCCCTGTAGATCAGGGTGAGCCCAAATTAGGTATGTCTAAAGCCCTGAAAATATTACAGTGTTTCCAGTTCTTTTCCATGGCTTGTATTGTCAGGATTATATACAAACAGTACTCCATTTGCATCTTTTTGAATAGCTGGCCAACAATTTTCAAATCTATAAAAACAAAAGTCCAGAGTTATCCAGGATTGTTGACTATCATATTTACTTTCAATAATGTTTTACTGGCATTCATTATGAACTAAAAAGTGTTTTGCTGCAATAAAAGAGCAAAAACATGCTGACAGAACCGAAACTTCAGATACACAAGTACTGCTAGAAATTACGGGAACCTCTGAGAATTTTGATAAAATACTACGAAAATAGATACTCTGAAAATAGAGTACTGCAATAATTAAGTTGCGTTGCCGTTGCACAAGGTGGCTACAGCCGCATAATTTGTGGCAGTAAGCATTCAGAAAGAATATGGCTTGTATATCCATTGCTTAATAATACTCCAATTGAACAACCGTACTTCTGATCACCACTGCAATCCCATAGTTCCACTTCACAGCTCACTTCCTTGCCACCAACATGTATTCCTGTACTCTCAAATTCAAGAATTCTAAAAACAACAGCCATTATTAATTTCCTAAAGAAATTCCTATGCGAATCTGAAACTTCCTATAGGAATTTTTTAGTAAGGGCAGGGATTAACAAATTGACCAACAAGGCTTAATTGTTCATTACCTTACTCCTTGAGTCGGATGATAATCTCCGCCTGATATTTCCGTGGCATCAGCCAAATAATTGGATATCACTGTTTTACCACACTAGAAAAATATCAATACTTACATATTGTAGACTGTAATAGGTTCAGGAAAAAAGCACATTTTACAAAATTGTGCATAAATTACACAGTCGATATTTAAATGGATATCTAGATCCTTCCAAATTGGTCCCCCATGGCAGAAATTGGAAGTTAACCCTTCTACCCCCTTTGGATGTCCTAATGCACTTACTATTATCGGAAATAATTTTTTCTCAGAAAATTCCTGTGTGGGGGAAGTGTGGATCTTTTCTGGAACGATCCAGTGAAAAGTGGAAACACAGACAAAATGGTGACGATTTCATTGCAAATTTTGGGAATTCAATTTTTCAAAAAAAATTCAGCTATGTTCAGCAAACAAGAATGGGAAACTAATGAGATACTACATTATTTGAAAAATGATATGTATAGTTTAAATCATGAAAATACATACAATATTTGAAAATGGTCAATATTAACAGAGTACGTCCACTGTAGAAAGTTACATTCCACTGTGTATCAATGCAACTGGGATCTCGGGCTTGATGTTTAGTAAATTATTATATATTGACTAGTAAATTTGGAGAGTCTCAAGTGCACAACTTCCAAACTTTGCAGCTAGCAAGTACATAAACCAGTACACTGGCTAGAAGCGAAAAATTCACACAAAGGTATAGTGACTCCATGCCCAAAATCTTCTTAGTATTGTACACAGAATACACTCTACACGCACAAGAGCTCATTCAACTCAGAAAAGCAAAATTGTTTCCTCAATACTTATACTTTGAGGCAGCCCACTTAAAACTACATAATTTTTGGTGTTTTTTCACAAACATTTTGAAGTTAAATCAACATTAAATATTAGCATTTGCTTTCTTCTCACCTCTCGTGGTCCAATGACTAAAATCTTTGCTTTAAACATGCCTACATACGCTGTTATTTTGACGTTTTCATGTTTGCCTGTAGAGAAAAATACAGTATAAATAAAAATATTGAATGTTTCTTGGTAACCACTTCTATACTTCATGTAACGTATACATATTAACTTCCCGCCAAATGAAATCTGCCTGCGATCCTCGGGAAGGAACGCGAGGCTCTGGGATAATCCGTTGCCGAAAGCCAGGAATCCTGCCTAAGATTGAACTGCGCATTCCTAAATTTTGATCTGCAATTGCGATGCAACCATTCTCATTCCCCTCGATCCTTGTCATGCTCTGTTGGCCGCATGTAAGACGGGCTCTTAGCTCCATTTGAAGATTGGCTATTGTTACAAGTTGTTAACAAGCTTGTTACAAGTTGTTAACAGCTTGTTCCAAACTTGTTACAACTGGAAACAAGCAGTGCGAACACAACTTGTCGACAGCTTGTGAACAGTTTTGTAACAACTTGTTTGCAGACCTGTAACAAATTGTGCGTTTTTACGTGTGTGATCAAGGTTGTTGCCAAGCCGATGTCAGAATGTGTTCGCACAGCTTGTTCCCAGTTGTGACAAGTCTGAAACAAGTTGTTATCACCTTGTTACAAGGTTGATGACGATAACAGACTTGCTACAATTTGTTCCATTCAAATACATTATACATTTCGTTTTAGAAATGCTTCGCCATCATCAAACATCATTCGCCAAACATCACAAAAATTTGGGGTTAGTTTTAATTGTGCCCTCAATACGACTTGTAAAGTTAGTCTTACTGTAATGACAGCAAAATTTTAACACAGTATTTTAATTAAAATGTGCCTGCGCAAATCCGAAAAGTGCCTGCGAGCTGGCACATTTTAATAATTTTAATAATCCTTAATGTCAAATTTTATCTTGATAATAATCAACTAAAAATAGTTATATCATGGAAAAGGTACTACTTCTTCCTTTGAAAACCGATAAATCTGTCTTTAAGTTAAAGACTTTAACAGTTATTATTGAACGAACCTTGCTGGTTAGCTCCTTCTCGTCCCCGAGTGCCCGCACTCATTATTCTTTAAAATATACCAAAATTTCCTCGTAAAGCTATAGACTCTAGACAGTGCAGGTATTCCACAAATACACTTATGTCTTATATATCAGACAGTAGATTGGCTATATTGTTCAGCCAGGCAAGACATATGTCAAAAAATGTGAAGCTTAGCCGTACAATGTGTTGTTGCTACAACAACATGTAGTTTTTGTGTGCATGTTTAACTTTTTAATAACGTTATTTTTGACATATGCAAATTTCTGTCATAACACCTGCTACTTTTAAGCTAAACGTTTGCCTGCCAGAAAACGTAAACATATAGACATTTCCTAAGATATCTTCCCAAACTCATATCAGGCTACTATTCGCGCAGTTTTGGTAGTGACATTTTTGGAATACACCACTTTCGATAACTTCCCTTAAAACTTGTACCAAGTCTCTCTCGAATTGGTTTCAGGTTTTCCGCCATTTTTGGGGTACTGCCTCTTTAACGTCAACCAACGTCAACCACGTTTGAGAGTCTCCGCGCCACGTAATACAACTTTTTAGTATTGTAGTTGTTTGTATAATGGTAAACTTACAGTTACAACTTTTAAAAGTCGCTTTTCACGTTGCTTGGATTGTCTAGAATATTTTACGAGGGCAGACAGTACCCCAAAAATGGTGGATTTTGGCCTTCGTGAGAAATGCTAAGTCTATCCAGTCTATTACGAGACTCATTCCTGTAAAAAAAATCCAGTCTATTACGAGACTCATTCCTGTAAAAAATGAAAGCAATTCGAGAGAACCTTAAAGAAGTCTAGTACTTCCTTGGTCAACTGAAATTCGCATCTGCTTATATTAACTATTGTACCAGTTTGTGAAAGCATGGAAAATCTTGAATACATAATGAATACAAATAATGAATGTATTCATTCCTACAATGGCAAGGATATGGAATATTATTTTCATTAGGTTGAAGATGGAATGTTCCATTCCACAAGGCGACAGACTAATTCTAACAACAATAACAAATACAGCAGCAACAACAACAACAACAACGTACATGTCAAGAGCAACAACAAGAACACTGGCAACAACAACAGCAACGACGACGACAACGACAAATGCACGTCCAACTTTAACGTAAGCCACGAATAGGAATTCGACGCAGGCACGCGCGCGGCATACGCTCTGCAAATCTGTCAACAGTATTTTATGTTTTCTGCATAATGTTTATGAATCAGTAAAGGCTATAAAGCAAACATTCACCTGAAGTTCTGTACATCGGCTCTGCAGATTCTGAACGTGTTGTCGTTGAACTTGCTGCGCTGTGATTAATACTTTCAGTGGAGTGTTGGCGAGCGGGAATGCTGGGTTTTCGTTCTTGAGCTAATCTCGACGATGACCTTTTTTCATCATGGTTATCAAACTCGTCTGAACCACTTTGTCGACCTGGTGTAATTATAAATTTTGCAGTATCTAGTATATGTTAGTAAATGAGTAGAGCAGACAGACAATTAAACATACATGCATATAGATTCAATTATAAAACATACATTTTAGATTTTAACTTTGTAGATAATTTTTAGATCAATTAAATTTCTAAATAACTGTGAACATTACATTTTTATTATTTATTATTAAAACTTTATTTACACACGGAGTCCATTTCACAAAATGTGCTCTTCCATGGAGCCGCGTGCACATTAGAAATATCTACATAATACTATTACAATTACAAATTACAAGTACTAGATAAAACATGAACAGCCGATCTTTATCTGATATACAAACTCAAGCCGAAGGCGATCGAGAGTTTGTATATCAGATAAAGATCGGATGCGAATGTTTTATCGTGCATAAAAAACGACCCATCTTATGAGTTCATTGGCGAAGTAATTTTAAAAATAAACATTGTCTAAGCCGAGAAAATCAAAGCTGAAGTTTATGTAAATCAGGACAAATCTTTATCCGATTTACAAACATTGATTAAACATTCATTTCTTTTGTATTTTCCTCATGAATTGTTAATGAGTTTTTTAATTACAATTACAAATCACAATACTAATATAAAGAAAAGTAGATTTATATTGAGACCATTTGGCATTTATTAGTGACTATAACTATTATATAAATTTTAAAAATAATCTTAAGACTCCACCCTCTAAAGGAGGATCCTCCAAAATCTGGGAGCCACATGACCAGCATTCACCAGGGTCTCTTCCATCCTCGGTCCCAGGGCCTCACGGCTGGCACAACGCAGTGTCAACTGTGAGCCCTGGGACCGAGGATGGGTCTCTTCCTCCATGCAGCGAGGAGCGTAGAGAAGAGAGCCTGGGTACGAGGTTGGGCAGTCGAATTTCTCGAATTTTTATGGAGGATCGTAATGAAATAACCTGAATTTAACAAATATTCTGGTTTAATCTGGTAAATCCGCCCGGATTTTCTTGATTTTTCCTAGCATTTGCCCGAATTCCCTTGGTTTTCAAAAGTTGTCCCCCCCCCAAAAAAAAAATGCCTATGCTTTTTGCAGCTCTGTACTTGAGATACTGTATATATAGGAAGAACTTACGTGTAGGTTGTTGTTTAACATCGGGAATACTCGATTCTGACGTCCTTCGCTCAGGAGTATGGGTGTTTTGCTGTCGCTGAGCACGTGGAAGACGTCTTCGTTCCCTTCTCAATTCGTCTGAACTTTTCTCTCGACCACCTTATAGAAGGAAAAAAAAGAGTACTAGATTAACAGGAGGGTTGAAAGGTTATGGAAAGTTATTTTAGGTTTCCTCTTGTGCATCCTCTTCTAACTCCGTCTCATCAATAAGGACAGATGTATTCGCATTTAATAGGACTAGAAGGCATTTTTTCATTTTGCGATGAAAAGTGTTCAAAATCTAAAGTCTTTTTGGCCTTCCTTTCAAAAGTACTTTGTTTTAGCTTTATTTTGTAGTTTAAACAGTTAACAACCTTTTTAAATGTACTGGCGGTTGAGAAACACAAAATAATAATTAAAAATATTAATTATTATTTTAAAAACAATTATCATTGTGCATTGACATTGACGCTGTAAAAGTGACGCCATATTTTATTAATTATATAGCAATACAAGCAAAACTTACTGAACTTTAGAAGTCATTTCTCTTTGGCGTACCATCTAAAATCTCTTCATTTTAGCATGCATAATTTTACAGAAAGCACTGAAGTCTAAACATACTTTTTTAGTTTTTAAAGGCCGTTCGCCGCTTGAGAAACGTATGTTGAATATAATCAGTAAACAGTAATCAAGTGGAAATGTATATTCATCATAGTTTTGAGCGCGTGTTACCTATAAAAGATTCTCCTCTTATTAAATATCAGTAATTTTAGACATCTCACTCGGTGACACGCAATTAAGCTATTGTTTGCCATGCATATCGCCTCAGCCACAAAGTTTTAATGACAAATGAAAGTAATTTGAGTCGCGAACATATAGCCATAGGGCACATGCCGGCCTTAGCCCAGCTTAGGAGCAATGTCTGCCGTTGCTTTTCTCCGAAATAAGCACAGGGAATTGTTGGGACAGAAAAAATCCGCATTTTTTCATTTGTGTTCGGTAACAAGGTCCGGTAAGCGATATTTGCCGGCGATCAAACTAACAATTTACAGGTGAGAATTGTCCGGAGGTTATATTTCGAGGCCTGGGTGTATTCGTGGCAATTACCTAGAACAGCCAAATGCACGATTCCAGTTACGCATGCGTGCTCACCAACAATATAGACTACACACGTAAAAACGCACAAGTTGTAACAAACCTGCAGCAGACTTGTAGCAATGCTGTTCCAACAACTTGTCAACAGGATGTGTTCGCACTGCTTGTTCCCAGCTTGTTGGCAAGTTGTCAACGGCTTGTTGACAACTTGCTCCGAGGTTGTTGAGCACAAAAGACTTGTTACCTTGTTATCGATCGTCTGAGAGGCCAGTTGTTCAAAGGTGGGTTAGCGCTAACCTTGGGTAAAAATTTAACCTGCTGTTTTAGTTTGTGTATTTATGTACGTCTGTTTATTTCAAAACTTCAGAGATGAAAACTCCAGACAAGATCTCTGAGGAAATATTTCCAAATTTATGGACAAGCTGTCAGGAAGTTTGCTTTGAATTTTAGGTTAACCCAGGGTTAAACTGACCCAGCTTTGGACAACTGGCCCCAACAATTCATCAACAAGTTGTGAATGACAACCTTGCATGTGAGCAACTTGATAAAATAAAATAACACTTTCAGCGTTTTTACAACTTGTTGACAAGCTTGCTACCAGCCTGTTGCGAACACATCTTGTTGATCAGGTTGCGAGGTTTTCACGTGTTTACGCCCATGCCTGACATGGTTGTTCTTGCATATGTTTTACAATCAAATACGAGACGAGCATACGCTCATAATTTCACTCACGTCACACACAATGTCAATTAGGTATTTTGGGAACTCTTGGGGGCATTTAAAGCTATACGGTTCCTATTACCTTTCTCCATCTAAACATAAAAATATCACGTATCACTTTACCAATTTCCACAAGCTGTAGATTTTACAAACTTTCTTACGACATAAATAGAAGCAAATTTCTGTCTGTTGTGAGTATAGCAGCACTCTGTCAGACTGTCAGTTTATGAACTTCATGGCCTTAAGCCTTTATACAAACAATGAAGCGTATACCGCCTTAATTTGCCCGTGTTTTCAGTTCCATTTTTGACAAGATCGTGAACTGGTACCAGCTTTGATCAAAACGGATCATTATTGATTAATTTTAAAACAATATTTAAGTAAGTAATTCGTATAATATCTCACCTTTTGTCTGTATTTGCCTTTCCATTCTCTTACACGAAACGAACACTGGCAACTGCTCGTTTATTTCTGAACTGAAACAGTTCAAATATACAGTTCCAAATTCGAGAAACCTAACAGAATATAGTTGTAGAAGCTCTTTGGTTATGGACGGCTTCAATTTGAAAAACACGCATCAGCCAATGCGAACATTTGTATACGTGTATAATGATAATATATAGTTGTCGCGCGGCTCTCTGCATGAGTTTGGATCTAATTAAAACGCATCTCTATGGAGAAATAAGTCTATAGAAACACCTGCGTTTTGAGAGAATAATAATTCATACTTCACGGGAGCAAAGTCAAAGAAATGTAAATATTCATACTTCGAGAATAATGTATTATCGTTTTGAATTCAACGATAAAAAAGTTGTGCAAAAAGAGCAAATAAGGTTACGGCAACTTGCGGCCCTGGCGCTATGACTATATATGCCTTCGGCTTCGTATTTACCAAAAGAAACAATATTGCAGATATCACTTGAAACAGTGAGCAAGCTATACCCGTAAATAAGGTTGAATAATCACGACTTGAACCGAAAATTGCTACAATAGGTGTTTACATTACAAAAAAACAATCCGGTACAACACGCACCAATTTGGAAGAGCGGAATGTTGCATCGGCGCTTCGCTGCAGAAATTGATTCGATTACATCATTTCATATGTAAACACAAGTCCTATCGGTACGGTCGCTACGCAAGCTATCCCGGTATACAGTGTAAACGGTAAACGTATAGCCTAAAATTGCTGAATTGATGCTATACGTAAAATATATCGATCTCCACGAAAGGCTGAATTTAAAATTTACAAACAAACGAGTCTGTATATTTATTTGTACATTATAATAATGACCATCATTACTACATTACATTAGGCCCCGGTTTAGACGGCGAACCTAATGGCTTGATCATACAAACGAAGAGAATGGGTTGAATTAAATATGGCACAAGTTCGGCAATACAAGTGCTAAATTGTAAATATAAGATAATCATGTGATATAACGTACGATGAAAAAAAATTATGCATTATGGCTGAAGGTCCATACACACCGGACGCGATTCGACAACGCGACGCGATTTTTTAGTTTTTGAAAGTTAATAAAACAGCCAATGAGAGCAAATTTTGAAAGATATGTGGACCAAATAACTCAAAATGTTATAGCGCTTCTAAGTATTTGGAAAATTTAACTAGGATCAAAGTTATCGGTCAGTGAAAATCGAAAAATCGCGTCGCGTTGTCGAATTGCGTTCGGTGTGTATGGACCTTTAGGATCGGCGCATGAAAACCACACCGGCGTCTAAAGCCTGATTCACACCTGACTTTTCCCCTTCGGCCTTTCTTCTGTCGTACTTAATAGGCACATTTGAGTGTCGGTTAACCCTTTACCTTATTTGCCGGTCCACTCTTACATTTTGAAATTAAAAACTTTACATTGAAGCATTGTCTTAAGAAGCAACCTATATATCTAGTAAGAATAATAATTTACAGAAAACCTAGTCGACGCTAGGCGGAATTCGGAACTGAACCATAGACACGTCATCCAGTTATTCAAGTGAATCGTCCTTTGTGACATTATTACGTGTGCAGGCAATTTGCATGAAGAGCTCACGTGATCTCAATCCTCTTAAAACAAAAGGTGTGGGGCCTGACAGGCCTTTAAAATATCGGTCGGTCACGGACATTGTCCGACCCATTCGTGAAATTGTCCGACGTGGAAAGAAAACCACCGGACATTCTGTCCAACCAAAGTGAAACTGAGGTTTATTGTTTGTCCGACCCGAGTCATGTATTGGTGTCCGACCGAACTGTAGCTTTGTCCGACGTAAATCAAAATGTACCCTAGCCCAGGACTAGAGGCTTGTATGTTAAATGGAAAATCAGAGTACTATTGTATAAAAGGTCAACTGGAAATGTTGTTTTAACATAGACGAACGCGGGGTGCTGCTGTTCTGGAAAGCAAGTTAATTTTGGCTTGGAAATAAGTATGAAAGAAACAAATTATTTAATATCTTTACAACATTTACCGTTTATTCATTTGTGTCATTCAGACTTATTTCCGAGTCAAAAATGAACTGAAGGTCATCGGACATATGTCCGACCCAAACTCAACGTCACCGGACATTTTGTCAGACGGCCCTGGAAAAGATATTTTAAGGCCTGCCGAGCAAGGTTAAGAAAGTGTCGAAGTTGAAGTGTTTCAGCGATTGTTGCGACTGGTTTTTAGGAGACTATTGTACACTGTCCGACTGCACAAGCTGTGAGAACAACACATGCGCTACACCAGATACAAGACTTTCATTGGCCAGTTCTAAAATCAACTGGATCACTGGGAATAAATTCGACCTGCCATCTGACTTCTCAGTATCAGCATCATTTTCAATATGGGAAAGTGGCACTTGCAACCAGGAACATAAGAAAACTAGCATCGATAATGGAAACACTTCGTTAACAAGGTTTTCCGCTGACGGGAGGTTTCTGATGCTGCTCATGTTTCTCTGTTTGAACAAAGTAACCCTTTCATTGATATCAGGCTGATATTTTAAAAATTCTGTTCCAAGCCACTGTGCGATTTCCAGCATCACTGCTTCCTGGTAGCAAAAGCTTTGAGTCTTGGAAAATTTTTTGCAAGCAAGGTTTTGACGATTGGCATAATTCATGCTTTGTGATTCTGTGGGGAATCTGCTACTTTGTGTAAGGTTATCATCTGGGTAGCTTGTATAAGAACCAGACAAGGGAGGACTCCCCAAAGATTCTGCCTTTTCAGGAAATGTTGAAAGACACTGCAAACAGTTCTTAACCAAATTTATGGTTCTGTTTAGAAAAGAATCCAAGTTTTCTTTGTGATTTATATAGGATAAATATGTTTTTAGCAGTTCCATTTCATGCTGAAGGCTTGGATTGTCTTTGCAAATTATGTAACTACCAATTGCACTACTAACATGATTAACAAATTCATCAACTGTACTAGAAGTGATTTTCTCTTCCCCAGTCTCCGAAGTTAAAGCTTCCACAATGCAATTTTTAAACATCACATTAATTTCAGACATTAAAATTGGATCCAATATCTGTCTTTCCCAAACATCCCGAAGTTTGAGAAGGCAATCTTGCTGCTCTTCTCGAGTGTAATGCTCAAACGCTATTTTAAACAGTCCTTGAACACTGTAAAACCAAACACCACGGTTTGTACCATGTATCCCAAGTATTCTTACCCCAGACTGAAAATTTAACTTAGTCGCCAAACCCCGCCTTGCATGTTTGGCGTGAAAACGAGGCAAATTTCCACTACTAATACTACACTCATCTAGCACATCACAGCCCAAAAATAAGGGCATATATTTCATGTTTTTGTCCAAAATTGTACTTACAATATTTGGCTCGTACTGATAGATGTATCTCAATCGACGTTTGCCCACAAAAACTTCGTTTAAATTGATTTCAAGGGTATTTTCTGTTGAATTTGGCACCGCCATTTTGTTTTTATCCTGAAGTGACCTGCGAACAGGCGGTTGGCAACCTGTTGTCAAGACCCGCAAGGGCGCGAAGTTTACTTTTGTTGTCATTTGCAAATTTTTTTGTGAATTTTGTAAGTAATTTTTGTCAGTTTTTCTTAGTATATTGTGAAGGTTTTCCACGAAGAATTCATGACACAAGAACTAAGCTACTTGCAGCTGAAAACTGCGAACGAAGCGAGACAGTCGGATGAGCAGAAAACCGAATTCAGAAAGAGAGAAATACTAGTCCTAATTTTGGGCTATCTCAGTGATGAAGGCTACCTGGACACTGTAAATACGTTGGAAACAGAGTCAGGACTTAGCTTGGAAAAATACTCTGTTTGCGATAACATTGACCTACCTACGGTATTACAGGAGTATGAATCATATTACAATGTTAAATTTAATCGATACCCAAAAATTATTAGAAAATTACAAAATCCTGAGAAAGGCAAGCCAAATAGGTCAATTAAGGGTAATTTAAGAAATCGTCAGAATTCCTGTTCTCTGCCCAATATAAACACGTCCAAGAATGAAAGCGAGACATCTCCAAACAGACCTCAAAGCGATGGTAAACGAAAGGTTTCTTCGAAAACGAAGGTTGCCAAGGCAAAATCTCTAACGACCGTTAATCAAGATGATCTAAGCTTAGCAGGAAATGCATTATCCAATCAGGGTGCAAGTAAAGATACAGTACAAACGGTGAAGAATATACATGGAAAAAATGTTATTGTGGATATGAAAGCCATGTTGTCGAATGCAATCAAAAGTAATTATCTAACAAGCAGCAATGAATCGTCAGAAAAATTATTGAAACCTTTAGCAGGTTTCGCTGGCCTCACTGGCGAATGGCGTGAGCTTGCTGCCGTCGTTAGCAGAGATATATATTTGGACAATCCTGACGTTTATTGGCATGATATCGTTGGGCTCGAAAGTGCTAAACGACTCGTTAAGGAAGCTGTTGTGTATCCAATAAAGTACCCACAGCTTTTCACTGGAATTTTATCTCCTTGGAAGGGACTATTGTTGTACGGGCCACCTGGTACGGGTAAAACGCTACTTGCCAAAGCTGTTGCAACAGAATGCAACACAACCTTCTTCAACATATCTGCTTCAACCATCGTTAGTAAATGGCGTGGCGATTCAGAAAAGTTGGTTAGAGTATTGTTTGAGCTGGCTCGTTTTCACGCACCTTCTACGATTTTCCTTGACGAGTTAGAGTCACTAATGAGCCAACGAGGAGCTGGTTCAAGTGGCGACCATGAAGGCAGTCGAAGAATGAAAACTGAGCTGTTAATACAAATGGATGGTTTGGCTAAATCTAATGATCTTGTCTTCCTACTGGCCGCATCAAACTTGCCATGGGAGCTCGACCATGCCATGCTACGTCGGCTCGAGAAACGAATCCTCGTTAATCTACCGTCAGAAGAAGCAAGAAAGCAAATGCTCAGCAGTCACTTACCGCAGACAATTAATTCACCATCTAATGGGTTAGAGATTAAGACCGAAATTGATTATGATCTTTTTGCTAAGAAATTGGATGGTTATTCTGGGTCAGATATTAAACTGTTGTGCAAAGAGGCAGCCATGAGGCCGCTACGTAAAGTGTTTGACATGCTTGAGAATGTGGGAGATGAACGGTCAGCCACTCTACCACAACTGCAGTTGAATCCTGTTACAAATGATGATTTGCAAGCTGCTCTTTCAACTACAAAACCCTCTGCTCGTCAACTGCAGGACAAATACGCTGAATGGCAAAAAGAGTACGAATCTGTATAAATACTTTTAAAGCATAATGTTAATTGTGTTACATTGGGTGTATTAAAAGTTCTTTTTATAGCTAAGTCTCCACAATGTCTCATGTGTAGCAACGCCACAGAATAGGAACATTACAGAAAGTTGACTCTGTCAAAAACACATGCCATGCCATGATTCTCAATGATTTGTCGTCAAAATGTTGTCCCCATGTTCCTTGCAAGCACAGTTATGAGAGGCATTTACCCCCCTGAACATCTGCCATTTTGAATATTTTCAGGGGGATGAATGCCTCTCATAAACATACTGGCCAAGGACCATGGCAACGGCATTGAATGGTTATGCCAAAATCATAGGCAAAACCAAGAAGTTGACATTCCGTAAGGTTCCTATGCTGTGGCCACACACTCAAATTCACAAACTTGGATATAATGTTTTAAAACGGTTGTTTTTCGCAAAATGCACTGAAATTATAAACTAAAGCTAAAGCTAATTTAAAGTTTCAGGAAAATTTGAACCTATAGTGGAAACACGAATTGGCCGGCAATTTATTGTTGCTAAGCAACAGTACACAAACTTTCACATGTATACAAAAAGAAATTGCAACTTGTAGTCTTCGGAACTTTGCACAGATTTCGTTCATAAAATCGCTTTTTTCTCGCAATAAAAATGGCCCGCTTGGTTGAACGTCCTCCAAAATATCTCCCCGAGGAATGGCGGCATTCGAACAAGCTAAAATACTCGAGCGCTGAGAAGGAACGGCAAACTGCTGAACGAATTCGCGACGAAACGAATCGTTTGGTTGTTGAAACGGACCAAACCACTACACGAACGCAAAGCGATGTGGATAAAAAGCTAGATCAGCGCGTCACGGATGTAAATTACTGGAAAGCAGAGTTAGATAGACAACATGAAGAGTCGAACAGCGAGATTGAAAGTTTGTTGAAGTTTAAAGCGAGGCTTGAACAAGCCATCGTTGATACGGAGATTCCATTGAAGGTCGCTAGCGACTGTTTGGTCATTAGAGAGGAGAGGGTTAAGATTGATAATGTTCACGATGATGTGGAAGTCCAGTTGTTGAAGGTAAGAAATGGTATAGAGAACAAGGGGGGTTGGACATGTGATGTTGTACAGTATGTCTACATTTTAAGAGGCAAGAGCCCCCCCCCCCCCCCCCCC